GGAGACAAACTCAAGAAACTGTAAAAGTGAGCAGAAGAAGGAGGAGACGTAGAAACGATTGGACAGGGGTGATAGGAGTAAATAATATCGGTTACAAAAAAGGGCACCTGTTCAGGGTTACTGCTACCATGGACTGACCCTACAAACCACAAGGTCATGAACCAGCAGGGTACTTACTACATAAGTGGTTATTACGGTAGGGAAAAGTTTTCTGGCATCTGATACCTACTTTGCTTCAATCTCTTACCCTGCGAGAAGGTAACTTTTAGATGCAATCTCACTAGTAGTAGTTGATAATACCTCTCAAATCTTGGTTCATAATCAGAAGCACAGAAAAGACAAAGGATGAGTCCTGGTGGTAAAAATTAAATGGACGGCTCTCTGCATTAGACCACCCCAGAGTAGAAAGAATACAGATAACAGACTTTCCAAACTTTTTCCAGAATAGCAGAGGAAATAGCCTGTTTTCCCCTGGAAACACTGTCTACTGGAATGGAATTTACAGGAAGGCAGCTGGCTAGTTTGTAAAAGGCATCTAGTCCTGGCCATTTCTTCAATGTTTCCATGTGCTCATAAGCACAAGTGTGCAATACAACTGCTTTTCGACCTCAGTCTGATATTTCTGAAATCCCTCAATTCTGAATCTAAAAACCAGAATCAGTGGGGGTAAGGCTAGTAAAAATATCTAAGTTGGAGTACTCTGGAGTTTGTTTAATGTTACTGGGCAGTTATTTATTGACATGATGTATCTGGGATGGGGAAACAGAAACAAAAATCCTACCTCACAGGGCTTATATCAACAAAGCAACCAAGGATGAATGAAAAGGAAACGAGCTGAAGCAACATTAATGAACACTGGACAACATAGAGTTTTCCCCAAAATGCTAGATAGCAAAGTTTTAAATGCATATGAAAATACATATCAGAGCAGTAATATCCCAAAACTCTCTAAGGGGTGAAGATGCTTAATTAGAAGAGTGACAAAAGAGTGTGTGTGCAGAGAGGAAACCATTGACTAAGGAATTAGGATATATGGACACATGAAAACAGAAGTTCCTATTCAGGGCTGTCCCAGGCTTGAGGATACCTCACGGGGACAGACAGGTCCTGCAAGGAGGGAGAGTTTGCTGCAGGGTAAGCAGAAGAATAGGATTCTTCATCTGTTTTATATGTTAGTGTTACCAGAAAGATTGTTCAAAATGATTAAAATCATTTAAACCAACACGTGAATGAGGATAAACTACATTGTACCTTAAGTTCAAATTTGATTATCTTTTCCAAAAAACTGAAAAATAAACAGGACAGTGTTCTAAAATGACAGTGTTCTCAAGCAAAAGCTTGAGAAACAAACATAAGGAGCCAGAAACAAAACAGATTTTAAATGCATTTTCAATTTGCCTCTTTAGCCCAGCATTATTAATATCTTTTGTCAGTTACCATCCATATGATTTATTCTACTATCAGCGTTTTCAATTGTGTTATTATAAAATTCATTTTGCTTTATAGATTCATTAAAGACGACTGGAGAAATAATTAGTGTGTTAAAGTGTCCTGTGTACATTCATAAAATTATGGTAGCAAAAACTAATGGTTAATATATTTAGTATTATTTTAATAAAAATTTAGAACTAACACAGAAAGTGTAAATGGCTATCATGCCACTCAGCTAAATTACAAGATAAACTATAAGAGGCAAAGTAGCCCAAAAAAAAGGAGGAGAAGAAAAGAACAGAAAAATGTTAGGTCCCAGTACTAAATGTCTTGAAAGAGATTAAAGCACAGGTATTCACTCATTCAACAAATATTTATTGAGCACCCCCTACATTTCAGGTGTCATATGAAAAGATACAGACAGATGTGAAGAGACATTTAGAATGTTAAGACATCATATCAAATAATAAGGAAGACTCAAAACTTTTTAACTATACTAGATGACTGGAGATAAATATCCATGGCAAATTTTTAGAAGTACTCAAAATGTGATGAGTTTATGAGACATTTGGAAGGGGTAAAAGCAACACAACAAAAATGGCTTCTTGTATTGTGGGTGGGACAGGCAGAGGAGGGAGAAAAGAATTTCTCTATATACCTGTTTATTTGACATACCTTGAAGGAAGTTTGCCCAAATCTGAGATTAAATTGAAATCATTTTCTTAAGTAGAGTTATTAAGAAGCTAGAAGCAAGCCAGAAAGCTATAATACAGACTCAATCTTTTAAAGCTAAAAGGAACATCTAACCCAGAACTTTAATTCTGTCCACAACTAAGGTCTGAAGAGTAACTTTCCCAAGGCCACATGGTGATAACTTTATTAATTTTAGTTGCAGGTTAAAATATATAAAATATTACATATTCTCTATACAAAATTAAATATTCCATATTAGATGAAATTTAAAAAGAAACACAGACTAGAGCCATTCAACACTTTGGTGTATATTAAATCCAGGTTTTCTGAGAGAGAGAAAGAGAAAAAAGAGAGAGACAGAGAGAGATGGGGGCGAGGTGGGGGGAGTGATGAAAAGAATACAAAACATATCCACACAAGAATGGCATTATACTAATCATACTGTTTTGTAAATTCTTAATACAATATCTTTCTATGTCAGTAAGTATACATAACAAAACTTTAAAAAATTATTGACTGGAGGCAGCAACCATTTGTAGTTTTTTAATACTGATACCTTTTAAATAGCAAACATTAAAATACTGTGCAAATGAGCATACCCATAATGGTCGTAATAATAGTGTAATAATTTATTGGGTTGGCCCAAAAGTTCATTCAGGTTTTTCCATAACATCTTACGGAAAACCCGAATGAACTTTTGGGCCAACCCAATAAAAGATGTGAACACTGCCATAGGTGTAATAATGTGACCACTTATTTTCAAATACACACACACTCAATTTTCATATAAAATGAAAGGTATGGAAAAGATCTCTAAAGTCCCTCTGACCACCAAAATCTTATGATTCTGAACCTATTTCATACATCTTTCTATAGTTTTTCATAAGACTTCCCATAATAACTATTTTTAATAAATTTCAAGCTTATGCCTACTTCAGTCAAGAACAGCTTCATACACAAACAGCACTGTGGAAGGTTTTTTATTTATACATGCTTATTTAATGCATACAAAAATCCTGCAATGTAGAAACCTGAAAATTAAGTAATTTGTTCAATATCCCTTAGCTGGTAAGTAGAGGGTATGAAATTAAGACTCCTGGTCACATGATCCCAAAGATTCTGCTCATTTCATTACATCAAGTTGTCTTCTTTAATATATTCACTGAGGCATTTATTAAGCATCTATTATAACAACAGCAGGATTACTGTACTAGGTAAACATTCATTTAGAAGGATTGAGGAAATGCACACTGGGACTGATAAAGCAAAGTTCTCATATCAGTGTAAATATTATAACTACACGGGAGAACAAATCAGTAAATAGGTTAATAGAAAACAAACCTAATTTAAAAAATGAGTGACAGAAAAACAAATAGTTCTGAGTTTAGAACAATGGGAATTGACTAACTGATGAATAGAAAATTCTCTACTTTTTTGCTTTTTAATCAATTTGTAGTTTGGCTTGGCTTTGTGGCTCATTTACTTGAGAGGTGATTTATAATAATTTAATATGTTTGAATATTAACAGTAAGAATTATTTCCTATCACTTTAGAATGACTTAAGTTTTTCACAAAGCATGAAGAGAAAAGATACAGATTTTACAAACAAATTTTAGCTCACTTGGAAGAAAGGCTCTAAATTAATAATAGGAAATATTTACTACTACCATTATATAATTCATTGAAGGGGCAAAGAGGTTATTTCCTTAACTACTTTGAAAAGGAGGAAGACTTAATAAATTACTTTTAAACACAAAATATTAATATCTCACTTTCTTAAGTGTGATGAACATTCACTCAGCTGAACATTCACTCAAAACATTCATTTCAGACCTTCTCTGTTCAAGTGTTATGGGAATACAAATAAGGCTACTGGCTAAGATGTGGTCCCTAACCACATAGAAAGAGATGGTACTGAAGGTGTGGCTTTCTATTTAAATAAATCAATTTAGTTCCTCTTGGGAAACATCTGTGTATACAAATATGTTTTTAAAATTATGAAACAAATAATACTACTATTGGTCTCATTGGAGGTTCACAAATGATTTTCAACATGGTTTATTATTTCTGGATAAGCTGGTTGAGTGATACATACTTAAAACTTAAAAAAAATCAAAGCCAGTTATTCAATGTTCCTAAAAAAAATAAGATGACATTTCTTTGAATTTGGCACTCATATTTTTGAGTCTACTTTTATTTCTGTTTCAGCCCCAACTTGATGCATCAGGAGCCTAGGGTCAGGATTAATCAAATCTTTAAAGATACTTGTAGCTTGAGATGATGAAAGCTAAGACATAAAACAATGCCCATCTGATGCTCTGGTGTGCATCCAAATTACCCAAGGTGGATGTTTAACCCTCTCCTAGAGATTTTAATTCCAGATTTAGGTGGCACTCAAGGACCTGTGTTTTTAGACAGAACACATTTTGAGAGACACTGATCTCCAGAATTACCATCATTGCAGAATTAGTTCCTATTTTCCCTCCTACCTCTGTCATTTTCAGAAGTGCCAGAACTATTATTATTTGTTTTGATACCTCTGAAGTGAAAACTATATGCTGATCTCCACATTACATATTCTTATATGATACACATCCATGATTCTGCTCACCTTCCACTGGCTAGATAGGTGAATGGATAGATACAAAGGTAGACAGATACAGATAACAGATCCATCTACCTATTTATCTAATATACATTAAAGGAATGTATTCTGCCTGCAAATCAGAAAGTAATTCAAGTGTTTTAACATTTTCCACATCTGAGACACACTCTGAAATTCTGTTCTAAAAAGTCAAAAGAAAGCTACCATTGAAAGAAATTCCCAGAAACATTTCCTAGGAGATTTGAGTTATTAACAACAGTAGTCGGCTTACCTGCCATCTCGCTGAGCAGCACCACCTTCCGTCACTGTCTTGACAAATATTCCCAGCTTTTCAAGTCCAGCATCTGCTCCAACACCCATTCCAATAATACTTATACCAAGTCCATCCTCATCTATGAAAAAGGAAAAAAAAATGAAACAACCTAAGTTTTACACTCGTCCACAATTAGCTGCTGAGATCTATTTGCTGCTTTTAATTTTGTTCTTTGTGAACTATATTGATATGCTTCCTCTGACAGAATTTTTATTCTATGCTGGGGAGCAAGGATGTCAAATTAGACCCCTCAAAAGGCTCATTAGTTTAGTCTCATTTTACTCCTGCCAGTGGCTCTTCCATTGTGATCCCTCAAAAAGGTAATAATTTGGTTACTGAGCAATCAATCTGCCTAACTAAATAATATTTTTAAGCACAGACCATACATCCTCAAACATATATATATATTATTTAAATAAATGTGATCATAATATATCTGGAATTTCCCCTTTATTTATGCGGTCTTCTTTTCTTTTTTACTTGGTCCACATTCCCATTCATGTTAATAAGATGGTATGTGTCTCTCAGTACTTTCCTCTGTCCTACTATACAAGCATATAAACGTATCATCAGATACGATATATACGTTATATGCATATAATTAAATATACATATTATATATGGCTTAATTTTCCTTCTTATTTTCTTTACACAAACAGGATCATATTATACCTACTTCTCTCTGCAGCTTACTTTTCTAATCCAATGATACCACATGGATATCAATTTACATAGCCTTAAATCACTTATAATGCATATTTCATGGTGAGAAGCTGTCGTAACTTATCCAACCATTTCTCTACTAACAGGCATTCACTTTTGTTTCCATTTTACTGGCCCTTTGAACAATACTGACAAACATGTTTTTTAATTCACTTACAAATCCATATTTCCAATTCTCCTCTCTGTGAACACATATTTTAACATTAATTAAATAAAAGATACACTATGTGCATTCCACATTTTTTGGTTAACATTCAAAGTTATTTTCTGATAGTCTCAAAGTCTTTATAGTAATGGTGTATTAGCTGCATAAAAAATAGATGGTATTAGCTAGTCAGCAGTAGTGGAGTGTTAAAGGAAAAC